CTCCAGGACCCTGCTGAGGGTGTAGAGCTGGTCCAGTGTTCCACGACCAGGACGAAAACCACACTGCTCTTCCTGAATCCGAGGTTCGACTGTCCGACGGACYCTCCTCTCCAGGACCCCTGAATAGACCTTACCAGGGAGGCTTAAGAGTGTGACCCCCAATTGGAGCACACCCTCCGGTCCCCCTTTTTAAACAGGGGGACCACCACCCCAGTCTGCCAATCCAGGGGTACTGCCCCCGATGTCCATGCGATATTGCAGAGTCGCGTAAGCCAACACAACCCTACAACATCCAGAGCCTATAATAATAATAATAATAATAATAATAATAATAATAAAATATTGATATTTTGCTCTTTTTTTATTTTTGCTTCTGTTTAGCATCGTCACTAGCTGCGTTTCCATTGACCATGAAAATGCGCAAATTAGAATTTCGAAAATAAATTCGCTCAATGGAAACACGGCAATTTTAAAAAAAACTTCCTTTTTTGACAAAATGGTTTTTCACTAGGATGAGGTGGTTTTTCAGCTGTATCAACATTGGTATTTTTCGCATCACGGGAGTCACGTGATCAACAACCTGCTGTTTCTACTGGCAAAAAAGACGAAGAAGAAGAAAACAGGAAGAAGTAGTAGTAAAATCACCAAAGTTGTAAAAGAAAGTAGTAAACTCACCGACAACAATTTCCCAAAAACGCAGCATACGTAGCCGCTCCCAACTATAAGGGGCTTGTCGCTCGAAAACCTCGATAAGACGTCGACGTCTCCTCTGATGATGAGCGCTAGTGTTGTGGAAGCAATTATGCATCTGTTTACATCCATTGCCGCCATGTTTGTAAATACTTATCGCAAGAACAAACATATTTACGCTTGACTTTAATAGCATTTCTTACTTAATGGAAACACAGCAGTTGCGAAACTGTGTTTTTTTGACATTAACAGAATATCAACAAAGTTTTGCACAGATTTGCAATGGAAATGCAGCTACAGTTGCGAGGCAACAGGAGATACACCGGGGTAAGGGCGGGAATAAAGCACAAGGCTATGCCGTCCAAATTCACTGCCAGGTTTTTGGTCAACCGTGGTCGACCAAGGACCTGGCTGTGAATTTGGACACGGCCAATGTTTTTTGAACAGATGAGACCAAAGTTTACCCATAATGCACAGCAGGAGATCAGCTCAAACAGCTCCTCCCAGCTGTCAACACGGGAGTGGAGGACTGACGGTCTGGGCTCCTTGTGGTTACTGAGTGGACCATGGACTGCTCTGTAGACCAGTTTTCCTCAGTCTTTCCATTCTGGCTTCGTTTTTGTTGAATAAAAACAGGTTCACTGACCGCTCTTTGTTTGTTGACTTTTAACAGCCGGCTGATGTCAGTGTTCGTCTGTTCAGTTTCAAGGTTTATTAAGTACACTGGATACGGTAATGCTGCCGGGCTGCTGGCTGCACGGGGGCTGCTTCGAGGCGGCAGAGGTCCTGGGATCTACTCTGAAGATGAAGACTCTGAGACTGAAGAGTACAGAGAGGCGAAGTCTCGGTCAGTACCCTCATCAGAGAGAGAAATCCTTCATTATCTAATTCTGAATCAAACAAGTGGGTGTCACAGAACCAGCAGGCTTTAAAACATAACAAAAGCCCACCCAAAGTCAGACATTAACCACTTCAGTGCTGTGAGACCACCACAGGAAAACTGTGGAACTTCATTTGTAAAAGCTCAGCTCAGATCACTCCTCTGCTCTGCTGTTTGTCCAGAATCAACCCGATCACGGGGGTTGTAGAGGAGGAGCAGCCCAACCCCATGGAGGGGATGACCGAGGAGCAGAAGGAGCTCGAGGCCATGAAGCTGCTCAACATGTTCGACAAACTCTCCAGGTCCCGCCACAGAAAACACCACACGGCTGTTTTTAATCCATCCACGCAGCTGTTTGATTTACCAGGTCTTTGTACGTGTCCCCTGCAGGACCAACGTGATCCAGCCCATGCAGCTGGACATGGATGGGAACATGAGAGAGATGACCACAAAGGATCTGCACAAACTGACCCACAATCCTGTGATCCAGCCTGAAGACCCAGCTCATTCAGACAGTGAGGATGAAGCTCAGTGAGCATGTTTCACTACAGAGAGGCTCACGCCACACCTAACATCCTGACTTTATTTAACGGCATGTAAAATGCATATATTTGTTTTTCCTTTTGTTTATCTTAGTCAGCTGTAAAAAAAAAAGAACATAAACGACAGAAAACAAAGACTTTGCCCTCTTAGTGGGAAGGAAAAGGCTTAAATTGTGAAACTAGAACTGACGGGCCACAGTTCTGCATGAGGTCAGAGAAATATCTGCCTACATCTGAAGTCAGTTCTGGAGCTCTTTGTTATCTCTGAAATTAGAAAAATGAATGAATGATTACAGTTTGTATCCTGTACGAGGACGTATTGGGGCCATTTTGCAGATGAATTAAAAAAAGGAGAAAATCTCTTGCATTTTTAATCTGCTGTAGTTTAAAAACTAAAACACATTGACACTTCAAACCTGGACTAGATTATTCTACCCTGATTGTAGAATATTTAAAACCAAATGTGTGATTTGTGAAACTTCAATATAGGTCGATTTAAGCACTTTTTAATTGAGCATGGCCAGATGGAGAGGGGAGAGAAAAAGTTTTCTTTCAAATTAAGAGAGTTCCCAATTTTTTTCTTGAAAATTTCTGAAATTAATCTCAAGTTTTCTGAGTTTTTTTGGCTGACATTTTTTATTCATCGTCAAAATGGCCCTAAAACACCATCATAATCCTGAGACACAACCTGACACTGTTAGTAAAAATCTGCTGCCCTTCGTGATGATTTCTGCAGGTGGAAAATGTGCTTCATCGTGAAAGATAAATGTATAAAAATAACACTGATTCTAATTCTTATTAATAATTAAATCCACAGAGCTGGTTTCTGAAAAAACACTTTATCTTCACAGGAGAAATGAACTGCTTTGTAACATTAGATGTGATTTATTTTGCAAATGAACGTGTTAAAGACAAATAGATTTTGTTTAATGCTGGATGTTGACATTAGCTATATTTTTGAGAAACATAAAATAAAAGGTGTTATTTATTTATTGTTTTAAAGTGTATGTTTTTGTGTAGTCAAAAAGAAAAAAATTGTATAGTTCTTCTGGACGGGTTCTTCTCTAATGAAATGTTTCGTCTCTCCTCCAAGAGACTTCTTCAGTCTGAGAGTTTCAGGCAAAATTCAGGCTTTTAAGCCCTGCCTCCATGTGACTGATACTCACATCACATGGCTATCGTTGACGCCTAATTAACACTTATTGTTAACAGGGGGTGGAGTGATAATGGCAATAGCAGCACTGTAGGAGGGGGACAATTGAAAACGGAGGCCTCCACCTCTGTTTAATGATGGACGGTCTTTYTTCACAAAAATGGCTTCTTTTCAATTCAAAATTCAATTCAAAAATACTTTATTGATCCCAGAGGGAAATTAGGTAATTAGGTTTTACTCCTCTCTCAAACCAACGTTCCTCTCTATCAAGAATGAGAACATCCTCATCTCTGAAAGAGTGACCGCTGGCCTGTAAATGAGTGAAAACTGCAGAGTTCTGGCCATTAGATGTAGCTCGTCTGTGTTGGGACATTATTTTGAACAGTGGCTGCTTTGTTTCCCCGATGTATAACTGGTTGTAGTCCTCCTGGCACTTAACAGCATATACAACATTGCTCTGTTTGTGCCGGGGCACCGGATCTTTGGGGTGAACCAGCCTTTGCCGTAATGTGTTTTGGGGTTTGAAAGCCACTGGGACATCATGTTTAGAAAATAAACGTCTCAGTTTCTCCGAAACACCCGCAACATATAGTGTTAATTAGGTGTCAATGATAGCCATGTGATGTGAGTATCAGTCACATGGAGGCAGGGCTTAAAAGCCTGAATTTTGCCTGAAACTCTCAGACTGAAGAAGTCTCTTTGGAGGAGAGACGAAACGTTTCATTAAAGAAGAACCTGTCCAGAAGACCTATACAATTTTTTTCTTTTTGTTTTTTTTTACCTGGATTACTGAGATGCATCAGGACGTTTTTGTTTAGTGAGTTCTACAGATGGAAAAGTCTGTGTTTCAGACTGAGGGTGAAATTTTCTGGTTAAAAACACGCTGCTTTGAATTTTTGTTGCACAGAAAAATAAACTGAAAAGCACTTTTAATGGGTTTAAAGGGAGTTGTTTGGTCTTTATTTTAATAAAGTTTAGATCATTTCAAATTGACTGAATTATATTTTAGATGAAGAAATCTTTGTGTTGTGATGAAAAACTGTACAGTTAGAGTTGCAATGTGAAGGTGCTGGTCATAAAATAAGAATATCATGAAAAAGTGTATTCAGAAATTTCATTCAAATAGTGAAACTTGTATATTATATTCATTCATTACACACAAACCGATATATTTCTCTAAATTTTGATAATTATAACTGACAACTAATGAAAACCCCAAACTCAATATCTCAGGAAATTAGGATATCGTGAAAAGGTTCAATTTTGAAGACACCTGTGCCACCCTTGAACCAGCTAATTAACTCTAAACATCTGCAAAGGCCTTTGAATGGTCTCAGTCTACTTCTGTAGGTCACAAACTCATGGGGAAGACTGCTGACTTGACAGTTGTCCAAAAGATGACCATTGACACCTTGCACCAGGAGAACAAGAGGCTGGCTGTTCACAGAGCTCTATGTCCAAACACATTAATAGAGAGGCGAAGGGAAGGAAAAGATGTGGTAGAAAAAAGGTGTACAATAGTGATAACCACACCCTGGAGAGGATTGTGAAATAAAATTCATCCAAAAATGTGGGGGAGATTCACCAAGAGTGCACAGCAGCTGGAGTCGGTGCTTCAGGAACCACCACACACAGACGAATGATGTATGACCAGCACCGACAAGTGCTGTTTGACACTTTAAAAATATTTTCAGTGGTTCTAGGAAGCTATTTTTGTAAGATAATCATTTCATGCAAGTGACATTACAGTCCTTCCAGTGATTCTTGAAATATTTTGCTAGCCCACAATGATCCATGAAATAACTTGAAATCAAGAATCCTCAATAAAAATCAATTCACTGGTTCAACAGATTTATTAAAAAAATAAAAATAAAGTAAAACTGGCCTTGATTAAAAGGATGATATAACTCAATATTTTGTTGCCTTGTAACCTGGAGTTTGATTGAATTTTTAATTTGAGTCAAAGAAATAAATGAAGGTAAGAAGGTAATGATGGAAGCTGAACTTACAGTGTATGTCTTCATTCAGGTCAAACATTGCAACACTGAAGCCCTGGTCCTGGTGGTCCACTGTCCTGCATGGTTTAACTGCTTCAACACATGATTCAAATCATTGTCCTGCTCAGAAAGAAGCCAGTGATTAGTTCCTCTCAGGTGTGTTGAAGCAGGGAAACGTCTAAACCATGCTGGGCAGAGTGGACCACCAGGACCTCTTCAGACTCTTCCAGTTCTTTCTGCAGATGAGAAGCAAGAACACCGAGTAGACTTCAAATCTGTCTCCTCGTTTTTCTGTGTGGCCCTGATATAAAGAAGGGGTTTACCGTGTTATTGAGCATGCAGTATATTTGATCAGTAATTAACAGAATACTTTGACTGTTAATAGCTTTTGTGTCTTATTTGCTGTATTTTGTTGCGAAGCACATTCAGGTTCTGGATAACAAAGATTTCGCAAGATAGCATAACAACATTTCATGTTGGGGCAAACACACTAACCCTTCAGCACCCTGGGTATCAGAAGTTAAAAGCACAAGAAAGTAGTCGAATAAATTATTGGGGACATTTTCCATGAGTGCAAACCACAAACTCAGCTCTGCTCAATCAGATGTTTTTTCTTCGAACAAATTTGAAGACAAACAGGTATTCTTATGATAAAAGATTTATTGTTACAACAAAGAATATATTCAACCAAACAAAGTTTCTTCCTAGTTTGTGCAAGATTTGGGTTTATAATGAACATAATAACCATATCTTTCTTTTGAACAATTAGAAGTTGAATATATATATTTATTTTAAAAAAATCAAAAGCTAGTCTTGAATCAGTACAACAGTTTGAACTTGAACAGGATGATTAGGGGGACATGGTCTCTGGAGGTGATTTGCATATTTTTGAAGAAAGGTGAAGAAGGAGTTGAGTCAAAGCTCTAGATTTACTGGTCCAACATGCCAACCCTCACCTGTGCTCATGAGGTTTGCACCTGATAGGAGTTTCCTCTGAAGGCGGGCCGGGCTCAGCCTCAGACAGAGCTGCATCAAGGAGTCAGCTGAAGAGGTTTGTCTGATCAGGATCCTTTGGAGGGATTATAAACCCTCTCTGGTCTGGGAACCCCTTGGGGTCCCCCAGGAGGATCTGGAAAGGGTCTCTGAAGGGGGGTCTGGGTTTCTCTCCTCCTTGACCTGACCACACATAAGCAGCAGAAGATGATTTGTTTTCTGTCAGACTTTTTTATTTTTTGTATCTTTTGTTGAATTTGATTGCCTCAGCCTGATTATTATTATTATTATTATTATTATTATTATTATTATTATTATTATTATTATTGCCTGATTCCATGCAACTGTTTGACGACAAGCCAAAAACAACAAAAAAGAAAATTCTTCCGTGCGACAGAATAAACTCTATAAACCTTTTAACAGTTATCAAGTATGAATTTACACTCTGCTCATAACTTGTCTTTATGTCACGTTAGAATCTGTGTGTGCAAGGCAAAAAACAACAGTAAAAACCAAACTGTGCGTCACATCCACCCTGAGAGTTTCAGACTGAATCGTCCTGCTATCTTACAGAGTCTCATTGTTCCTTTAGAGAGAGGAGGACTTTTTGATCTTTAGATACGGATTATTTACATGACCTGATAGCAGAATCCAAACATTATGCTGACAAACAAGTAAAAGAAGTGGTGTTTGGTCTGGATCTGTGCTGGTGCTCCGGGTTTAACACCTGCAGTCAGGGAAGAATCTCCACACTTTTTATTTAACTTTATTTTAGTGAAGATAGAAATTTAGTAGTTTTTTTTCCTTTTAAGAAAGAAGAAATACTACTGAGGGTATGTATAAATTATTTAGAACCTTTTCATTAAAAAAAGAAAACCCCTATAGGTCACTGAAATAACTTGAAACTGACAAAATTAAGAAACTTGATGTTTAGCAGCATCATTTTTCTGTAATCAGATTGGTTCTGTAACTCTGAGACGTCTGCATCTGTCCACAGGTGTTTTGGACCACTTATCATGAGCAAACGGCTCCAGCTGTCTCAGGTGTGAATGGTTTCAGAAAACTGTGCCCCGGAATGCCTTGATAGTCTTGAGACTTCATCAAACTCTGCACATATTCAGATGAGGCAAAGCAGCACCAGAAGGAACAGAAATCTCTTTGGTTACTGTATGTATTTCTTTTGTCTGTTCAGTTCGTCATCAGTTGTCCTCTTGTGGACATGTCCAGGGAGGTTGTCTCCAGTTCTGTGGACCTTCTGAATAATCTGAGCAGCTGTGATCTCAGGAACATCAAGCTGCTTGGAGATGATCTGATTATCTCAGATCATCTGACACTTCACCTGCCTTGCCTACTGATGGTGGTCAGTGGATCCGGTGGCGCCGGTGCAGCTTCAGTTACCACCTGAATTAGCAGCTGTCCTCGTCTATTGGTCGATGCATGCTGGTTGCTAGCTTCTCCAATGCTAATGCTAGCATGCAAGTCACTAGCCTCTCCGGTGCTAGTACAAATAAATATTAGTCTCTTCATTTACCAGCGTCGGCCTCTCAGTTAACAGTGTCAGCCTTTCATTAATCAGATCAATAGCTGGCTTAGGAATAGATTTAGCCTCCTGCTACAAGGATGTAGCAACCACTAGTTGCACAATAGTCTTAATTTTGGCCCTCATATTGCACCATATGTGTTCAGTGTATTACACACCATGACACCAAACAGTCCTGTGACTACCTGTCAGTCATTAAACAGACACTGAGAGACACCTGAGTTTAACTTGTCTCTGTGGACAGATTAATTTCAATCCTTCAAGGAGTACCTTCCTTTTTGTTCCATTCTTCAATAATTCTGTTGAATCACAATTCCAAAGTAATTACTAATATTTATTAGTTTATTGTTAGTATGTATTCTGGCACCAGGCATTTTTGAGTTTTGAGTGAAATAAAACCTTCACTGCAAAAAGAAACAAGTTTTAAACAGCTTTTTTTAAGACTGCTGCCAAATTGTACAGATTCAAGTGACCATAAGTAAATAAGTTTGGGATGTAAAACAAAAATCTATTGTTTCCATCAAACTTAATCCCTGAAATGTTCTGGTGCATCTTAACAACCTGACCTATAAGTGGGGAAGAAAAAGAAATAATCTTTGAGGTGTTGAACAGACGTGCACAACAAAGCTCTGTGCACACTTTTCTTTCATGTCTTGCATCTTACCCAGGACAAACATAAGAGTGATTAAAATGTGTGGGAGAACAGAAAAAGGCTGAATCTCATTTCACACTTTTGCTGTTGTCGTTTTGTTTTTCTTTAACTAAACTCCTACGTTTTGAACGCTCACATTGTGGAAAACAGAATTTCTGCAAAGAGCTTTTACACCCTTTAAAACCCAGGGAAGACTGGAACAAAACAGTGAGCAGAAAACTTAAAGCTGGCACAAAACAGATTAAAAGTCTCATTATTTTTATGCATTTTTATTTGTTTTCATTGTCACTTATCCTGAACGAGCATAAAAATATTCCTGTATTGCTCCATTAAAAATATGTTATTGTTTAAATATTGTAATATGTATGTAAGTGCATTACAGTTGATATTGTAGGTTTTCTGCAGCAAAGAAAAACAAACAGAAAAAAACATCTTAAGTCTGTTGTAGGTTTGATAACTTCCTGACATCTGTTTAGGTAAAATTATTATTTTAACTGCTACACCACTTCAAATAGGGGTCATATTAAGAGATAGGACTCAGCCACAGAACACACGTTTGGTGTCGCTGCAGCTAACAGTTTGGTTAAAGTGATGATGTTCCAGGTGGAATCTGACTGAGCTGTGAGGAGGAACTCTCTCAGATGTTTACAGAATGTTCTGTGACTTTTGTGGCGTTCTCAGTTTCCCGATAAGAGTCGCGGAGGTGTGCAGTCTTCTCACCTGAGTTTTGATCTTATAAAAAGAAAGAAAGTATCTCAAAATAATCACAAAGCCGTCGTGAGTGTTGGCAACCATGGGGGGCGAAGCCGTGAAAACAAAATAAATAAAAAGCAAACAAACGGCAGCCACACAAATTAGCGCTCAGAGTTCTGTGGGACTGCAGCGATAAATTCAGGTTTTGTTTTGTTTTTAGCTCAGTGAGATCTCACTTTTACACAAATCCGCAGTCACTCAACTTGTAAAGTCAATAATATAATACAGGATAAACTCGTGTGCAATTTAACGGTCAGTCTTTTACAGAGAACAGGTCTACCACGGGACACCACGGTGCTCTGCAGGGACCCCCCCCCCCCCCCCCCCCCCCCCCCCCCCCCCCCCCCCCCCCCCCCCCCACACACACACACACACGCACACACCACCGCTTTAACATCACTTTGTGCAGAGGTGTTACATTTATATCAGAGCTGGAAATAAACTGAACAAAACTGAAAAGGTCTCCAAAAGGTCTGAAACTTTTACATACGTTGTTCTCAAATGAAGGAAGGACTTTCTATACATTTTCAAAAAAAAAAAAAAAAAGGAAATAAAATTAGAGAGAGATGCAGGGGCATCTAAAATCCATTTCACTTTCTTTTCTGTAAATAAAGAGTTATATTTTTCTCTTCCAGTGTGAGGAGTTTTTACCAGCAGTTCATGCAAACATGTTTGGTGTTTCCAAGTGAACCTTTTGTGTTTTTCGGTGCAATTTTGTGACTCCTGTTATCAGCGTGACAAAGTTTTGAGAATGACAAAAATATAAATTGTAACAAATATTGCTGCTGACATCACTCCTCTGGTTAACGCAGGCGCAAGTGTTAATGAGGACAGGACGGGCTAATTGCACACCGGATGAGTTAAAAGGAGGGTTTGGCTTGAAATGATTGTCCAGTTAGTTTTATAAAGTCCAACAAGCACCAGGACCACCTGATAGAGCTGACTGAGCTGCAGGATGGGGGCACCACCAGCGCAGCAGGTGTGAGGCTGCAGACAGGATGTCTCTTCAGACAAACAGACACTGAGATTCTGAGAAAACGTCCAAGGACTGGACTGCTGACGACTCAGGGTTAAGTTAGTTTCTCTGATTTTTTTTAAATGTTTGGAGCACCCAGAAAAAGATTGTCCAAAGATGAAAAAGTGATCTCTACCATCAGTCCTTGCCAGCAGTGAAACATCCTGAGTCCAATGCCATAAAATATTAGAGAAACATGATGTGCATGATGATATTAATTACAATAAACCCACATTTTCCTCACTTTTTACAGATCAGGTGTGGACATCAAAGCCAGGGAGTCCCTTTAAGCAGCAAACATGAACGTATAATGACCTATTACTTACTGTGATATTTATACAGCACTAAATGATACAACGATGAAGAGGAGTTTGCGATAGATTGTGCAGTACTACCTGAGAGACCACTCATGTGCACGGTTGTTCCTCAGCCAAAGGTTTAACCTAAAAACATCCACTAACTAAATATCCTCAGAAAGCAGCTCCGCCCAACTTATGGAGGACCAAACCTATCATTATTGGAAATAAATGTATAAATATATAACTGGCGTATTAAAATAAATTATAGGGTCAAAAAGAAGTTTGACAAATAAATTATTGTGCCATTAAATCAATTACATCAATTATTTAGATATAAATATGTATTTACATTTTAATTTTGAAGGATTATATTTTCTCTATGTGCTTTATCGCATATTTTTTGTTTATGTTTATTCATTACAAGTACATTTGTTGTAATTTGACTTTTCCAAGCCATTATTTTCTTCTTTCACATTTATCACCAATCACATATATTTAAAACATGCTTTTTCACCTAATAATATTTTATCTCTCAAATTATTTTATCGTTCTTTTTTTTCTTAAACACTGATATATTTTCTTCTATTATATACCTTTGTTGTATATTTTTACCAAACACATTTC